CAAAAGTTAATCAGGTATATTCTCTATCTTCCTGTACAGTACAAGCTAAAAGTATTACAAACAATGTGAGGTCTTCACTATGGAATCTCTTTTTCTGGCTATTACCCATTCATGCAAGTCCCTTAGTTGATAATGGAAATCATACTTATATTAAAATAATAGTACCTATGGCATTATCCTTCCTGTATAAAAGATCTGACACTTGAACAATTGTATTTTCAGTGAATATGCACTCAGCAGAGGCATATCTACAACAAATTGCGCCCCTGGCGTCTTCCCAGCTCCCAGATGTTGGGAGTGACATCATCCCAGGTTGCTAAGAGCTGGTTGGGGAGATATGTAAGGACCTTACACATCATCCTGTCCAGCTCTTAGCAACCTGGGTTGCTCTGGCCGGCAGGTTGCTAAAACCTGGTCAGGATATCGGCTAGAGCCTTGGTTCTCAACTGGTGGGTCGTGACCCAAAAGGGGGTCGCGATCCTGTGTTCAGTGAGTCGCGATCCTGTGTTCAGTGGGTCGCCGCGTGCCTTCCACTTTTCTCGGTGAGAGGCTTCTCAGCCCCTCCCTAGCGCAGTATTGTCAGTTCTCGCGCTGAGCAATCATAGTGTTAGCTTGAGGTGGTGTGTGTTGGGCTGGGCTATGGCTGCGAGGAAGCTCCATCCATACATGCATTGCTTACATCTTCTGAATGGGATTTCAGTACAGAAAAGGCACTGTGTTGTTGGTGCTAACAGGAAGTTAGGAACACACTAGATTTCTGGCAGTTCAACAGGTATGCTTGTGTACTTGCAGCATTTTTAAAAGGATAACGCATAGGTAAATGTTATATGTATTGGGGAGATAAACTGAATGTTTTTTTTGTATTATTTTGTCCCGAGTGCAATCAGCTTTTAAACAAGCCAGCATAGAATACAGTAAAGTATTGCTGAGATAATTTACACTTGCTGTTTGTATAACTAATTCTCTGTACACTTGTACAATACACACAGATGAGTCATAACCAAGAATTCATGCTGAGAAATTGCATAAGCTTATTTAATAACACAATGCTCAATATATGAATCCGTTTCCCACAGCCACATGTCAGGCTCTTCCATTTAAAGGTGGGACCTGAGAGCTTAAATGTGATCGTGGCTGCAGGCAACATAGTCCTGATTTAAAGCCTATATCCGGGGAAGAAAAAAACTCCCCTTCCAATGGGGCTGCCCCTGCACTGCAAAGGGTTAACTGCTCATTTATGTCTAGGGTATCTGGATGCCCGATCCCGCAGGCTCCAAGACCAGCAACCGCAGCCTCTTGCCCACAATGCTCTGGCGGTCGGAGGACCACTGGCATCCTCACAGACATAGCCCTGAATTATAGGTGTGGACGCCGAGGCACAGTCTACAAGCCGGAGCATAGGAGAGATGAGGCGAGCTCCGACTGCAGGGAGAATGAGGATCAGGTACCCTAGACCTAAACAAGCAGTTAACCATTGCAATGTGAGTCTAGGTTCACACCTAGGCGACTCCTGACAATCCGGCAATCTGCGCGGTTTTGTGCATGATTGCCGCACGGGAGTTGCCAAGGTGTGAACCGATCGCGCTGTGAGTGCCATTATTTTCTAATAGCACCCGTCGTGCCGGGTATATCACGCGGTTTCCCGCTGCAATTCCGCCCGTACAAGTGAACAAATCACTGCTAAAAAAGCCGCGAGTTATGTGTCGATCACTGTGCGCACCTGCACACGTTCACGCATCCCAGGTGTCGTGCGGTGTAGTGCAGATGTGAACCTAGCCTCAGGGTGGCCAGCAAGGGGAGTTTCTTTGTCCATGGATAGGCTTTAACAGACACTAAAGCTGAACACAAGGCTGTACAGTAGCATTCAGACTAGAAGAAGGAAGGGCAGCACTAGTACCCAATCAGTTGCATTAAATGCACGTGTGCTGAAAAGGAACATGCTGACAGTAGAATAGAGTAGAGGGATGGCACATCAGTATTCTACTGCTCTTTCACTGACCAGTTATGGGCTGTGGGTAGGAAGGTGACCGAGCTGTATTGCTTTACGGCAGTAGCGAAAAGTCAGGTCACCAACCTGGGAAGTATAGCAGAAACCATACATGCATTTCACATGTGTATTTAGCGGCTCACCCTGAGTTCAGTTCAAAGTGGAAGTAAATGTGAAAAAAAAAAACAAGTCTAAGTCTCTTCTGCCATAAAAGCTTCTTTCTACAGTTCAGCAATTTTTTTCTTCTGTACGCTGACCTGAGCCCTATGTGGGCGTGGGAGTTACATCATTGGGGGCCCGGCCAATCAGACAGCCAAACACTCGAAAGCCAGAAGAAGACTGGGATGAAGATGGAAGGTGAGGGAGAAGTGCATTGCTGGAGGGGATCGCCTTGGCAGGTAAGCCTGCCATAATGTGCTAAGATCATGTGCATATAGCTTATAGCTCCAGGGGGGGCTTTTTTTTTTCTTTTCTTTTAAAGCTTTACTTCAGCTTTAAATAAAAGAGCCCATAATGCTCCGGGTAACAATACACAGTCAATCGTAACAACCAGATAGAAATCCACTTTCAGCAGCTTTTACAGATAATACCATCTCTGGTTGCTATGATCTCTGGTTCTATGGTGCATTGTTCTTTGCATTGTGGTTAAACAAACTTTATTTACTTATAAAGTTACTAAATGTCTTTGATTGACTAATAGAGTTCCCAGTTTTCAAGAAATGTCCCTGGAAATACCTCTAGTTCATAAAGGTTAACTGTACAACTAAACTGATCATTTTCTGCATGCCAAAGAGGATTTTTAAAAATTAACCCTTGCAGTGGGGCTACCCATGCATTGCAAGGGTTAACTGCTCGTTTTGGTCTAGGGGCGAAAATAAGGAATACTCACCCGATCCTCGGTCCCTCCTGGCTGGTAGATCGGTTCTCACAGCCTCTTCTTCCCTCGGGCTCCAGTGGTCTGAGGACCGGTGACATCATCACGCCTAATACAGGTCTATTATGCATTAGGACAACGAGGGACATACCACAGCGGAGAGAGGTGAGCGCCGGGGCAGGACTGAGGATCAGGTGAGTATTTCCTCTTTATATCTGACCCTAGACCAAAACGAGCACTTAACCCTTCGCGGTGCATGGGTTAGCTTTTAAAAACTTTTAAGAATTTTTCTTCTTTGAAGGGTTTTTGAACCTTTGTACAAGTTTATGGGAATGCAAAACCTGATTGAAGCACGTCAAATGCATCTATCAATAAATCCTGAATGATTGAGCAGTTAGCCCTTGCAGTGTGGGGGTAGCACCACTTCAAGGGTTAATTTTTCAAAAACAGAGTTGTTCTTTTAACTCACTTATCCCTTTTTATAAATCAATGTTCTTCGGCTTATAAAGTTAATATTTTTCCGAAGAGCACAAAGCTTAATGCTAAAAACATATTTCTGTTTTGGTTTTAGAAACGAGTCTCACTCGTGTGCAGAAGGTCAGCTACCAGCACACCATTCAGTCTTCATCAATGAACGACTTTAGTGATTTTTATAAATCATCATACTACACATATGTAGCTACAATTTTGTGATATGATGATTGATAAAATGATGGTGTGCTGGTAACTTACCTCCTACTTGTGTCCGTGCCATCCCCAAGCTATGACTAAGGCAGAGTAAGGCAGAAACACATCAGTGTTTGTTCTTTGTAAGATCATCTTCTTTAGAAGATCATCGTGTGCTGGTGGGTGCCGAGGCAGGGTGTCACCCAGAGCGGGTACCGGCTGACACCACGCAGTGACGCCAATGTGCATGCGCGTGATGTCATCATGCACGTGCTTTATGACGTCACGCACTGTTACTTGCCAACAGCCATCTTGGTAATGGATGCTGGCAGAGAGAGAAGGGGACATTCACCCGGCGGGATAAGGTATGCCGCCGGGTCTCCTAATCTATCGGGCAACTGTCAGGCTCTCGGTCCATGACCGAGTGCCCGGCTTCTCAAAGAGGGTGACAGTCATTTCTCCAATGGTGTCACACGGGTGCAGGCTCCCCCTAGTGACGCCACAGGATCCGTGCACCAAATGTGGATTACAAGGGCGCATGATAGGGGTGAACTGTGCGCTTTGTGTTTCCAGTTTCTAAGCTACTACAGCACGCACAAGGAATGATAAGGGACATATCAGTCCAGTGTGCGGTGGAATATCTACATCATTCAGGTGTATGATGCCAGTTGATTCTCTGCTCTCTGCATGACTGTATAGCAAGCTTGGAAGCAGTGTGACAGTTGCTAAAATACATCGCCTGTTTAAAACAAAAGTCTCCACCTGGATTTAGCTAAGCAAATAGGTCAGAGCCTTCCATTGATAATAAGTCTACATTCAGCAACGTTATGTCCCCAAAAAATGAGTTCAGCTGCCTACCTGAATATTCTGAATGACGGTTTTTCCATCAATGGATTTTTTTTCCCCCCTCATGGCACATTGGGCATATTCCAAGATGACAATGCCAGGATTCATTGGACTCAAATTGTGAAAGAGTGGTTCTGGGAGCATGAGACATCATCTTCACACATGGATTGCCCACCGCAGAGTCCAGACCTTAACCCCATTGAGAATCTTTGGGATGTGCTGGAGAAGACTTTACACAGCGGTCCGACTCTCTTATCATCACTACAAGATCTTGGTGAAACATTAATGTAATTCTGGACAGAAATAAATGTTGTGACATTGCATAAGCTTATCGAAAACAATGCCATAGTGAATGTGTGCCGTAATCAAAACTAAAGGCAGTCCAATGAAATATTAGAGTGTGGGACTTTTTGTTTTTGGCCAGGCAGTATATATTACAAAATTGGCAGCTATGTACTTGAAGTCGTTACAACAAAAGATTCCTTATTTAAAGGTCCAGTTATGAAGCAATCATATTATACTAGACACAGTTTTCATTGAGCTGGAAGAACTTGTGCATGTTGTAAAGTACCCGTATCTGTGCAATTAAAAGGGAAGGTAGAGTTGCAGTAAATACACACACGTTACCTGCTCTCTCTTTCTCTCTGGGGATTTCAGGGTGGTCTTCAGGGTCCAGGAGGTCAGGTGCAGCTCAGTGACATGCAGGGAGGCAGCAGACGTCTTGTGCTATTGCTGTGAGCCCGGGGATAGTACACGTAGCTTTAGTGCACGGTTGGGGAAGGGGGAGGGATCTGGCAGCATCTCACATGCAAAAACTAAACAAGCCCTCGAAGCTCTTCCAGCTGTGGCACATGCTCAGCTCTGCCAGTTGTCACATTGTAGCTCCGTAAGTAAATGTTCCCATTCCTATTTAGAAAGAACACTTAGGTAAATACGCATATCTGTGCAGCCATACTGAAACAATGTGCTTTATTGTGATAAGAGCACTTTTGGTGACATTCTGTTTTTCTAGCCTGGTGCCCAAGTGACCATTGCTAAGGTCATTGATATTTCGAAGGCATTAAAGGGTATCTATGGTCAAAACTAAAAATAAATATGGATTTCTAGATTGAATTTCCGTAAGTTCCATCCCACTCCTAATAACTATATCCATCTAGAAGTTTGTAAACCTATTGAAGATGCCCATAGGATATACTGTATTTTTTTAATACACTGACATAATATCACTCAGCACTTTTTTGTGTCACAACTCTAACAGAGCCTGCCTTTTGAACTACAACTCAACATCTGAACAATGTAACATTACTATTACTTGCTGGAAGCAATACATGATGGGATATGTAGTTTTGAGAAATCGGGATTGCATCACATCAAGCAGTTGGGAAAGAGATGCAAAGCACACTGGGAATCTAGGAAGTTGTTAAAAGTGATGGGCAGATGGAAGGCAGCACTCACTACATAAGAGATTATTTTAAAGTAAGTTTTGATTGTATTATCAAAAACAACTCTAGTATGTATTCCTATTACAATGCTGATGTTATAATAGGATAGGATATGCTGGGACTTTACAACTCCTTTACCATAAAGTAATTAATGATGGTATTTGACTTACTGACCCATAATACATTGTCAGAGACTGGGATCATTAGTCTCATAAAGTGGAAGAATGACTTTAATAGAACATCACAGCTGTGCTACAACTGGAGATTTACAGGGTTATTCACAAAAGGGTGAAGGGGTTGGAGAAGGCAGGAGAAGCGAACAATCTAGGACAACATAGCTGAGCTGGAAATTTTCTCCAATTTAGCTCACTTTCCAGTTCAGCAATGTTGTCCTAGATTGTGCACTTCTCCAAACTCTTCACCCTTTTGTGAATAACCCTGTAGATCATTAGGCAGTACTACAGGGAAACGTTGTAATGACATTTTTTAAATAGGGGTAACATAAAGAGCCACTCCAAATAGACAGTAAAACTATTCAGTAAATGGCTGATACCATCCAATAAACACTGCAAGTGTGCACTAATTAGAAAGTCCACTCCATATACCTAAAGCTGGCCATACACCTATAGATTTTTGATCGGAAATTTTGGTTGCTGCCAAGAACCCTCGTTCGATTCTAGCTCAAATACCCGATCAAGCAGAGACCGATGTCAATTTCGATAATCGTTAGTTAGCAATACTAACTCATTGAATTTTGTTGATTTACGTTTGCGCATGTGCAGTGCTCTTGCTCTGTGATATCTAACATACGAAAGCTCCACTACTTCATCGGAAAAAAAGTTTTCCAGCCTCACCCTTCAAAAAAATTAGAGCGCGATTACAGTAAAGGCCACCATTAAAAATCATGGGGCCCCATACAGCCTATGTGGCTAGGCCCCCCAGCTATCCCCCCACAGTCTCACTCTATTATTATACATTTAAATAACTTTGACATATACCACAGTGCTGTACAGAAAACACTGAACCAGTCACATTAGTTTCTGTACAGCGGAGCAGCGCACTGGACTCAGAACTTAGTAATGCACTGGAACAGTAGAAAGGTATCATGGCACACTGACAAGCCAGCATGTAAAAAAAAACTTGTCTCACTACTAAGGTTAACAACAGAGGTTTGGATACACTTCTTCTGCAGAAAATGTGAAAGCCGCACAGCCACCCCAAGGCACCTCTTATAGTGCGGTCCTAACTCTAAACTATGAGAGTCTCCATCTTGGAGACTCCATTTCTTGTGCACCTTGCTGTAGGGCTGGTGATGAATTGATGAGTGCATTTGTCATTTGTTTTGCTTGACTTAGTAATGCACCGGACTCAGGGCTTAGTAATGCACCGGACTCAGGGCTTAGTAATGCACCGGACTCAGGGCTTAGTAACGCACTCGACTCAGGGCTTAGTGACGCACCGGACTCAGGGCGTAGTAATGCACCGGATTCAGGGCTTAGTAATGCATCGGATTCAGGGCTTAGTAATGCACCGGACTCAGGGCTTAGTAACGCACTCGACTCAGGGCTTAGTGACGCACTGGACTCAGGGCTTAGTGACGCACTGGACTCAGGGCGTAGTAATGCACCGGATTCAGGGCTTAGTAATGCATCGGATTCAGGGCTTAGTAATGCACCGGACTCAGGGCTTAGTAACGCACTGGACTCAGAACCTAGTAACGCACTGGACTCAGAACCTAGTAACGCACTGGACTCAGAACCTAGTAACGCACTGGACTCAGAACCTAGTAACGCACTGGACTCAGAACCTAGTAACGCACTGGACTCAGAACCTAGTAACGCACTGGACTCAGAACCTAGTAACGCACTGGACTCAGAACCTAGTAACGCACTGGACTCAGAACCTAGTAACGCACTGGACTCAGAACCTAGTAACGCACTGGACTCAGAACCTAGTAACGCACTGGACTCAGAACCTAGTAACGCACTGGACTCAGAACCTAGTAACGCACTGGACTCAGAACCTAGTAACGCACTGGACTCAGAACCTAGTAACGCACTGGACTCAGAACCTAGTAACGCACTGGACTCAGAACCTAGTAACGCACTGGACTCAGAACCTAGTAACGCACTGGACTCAGAACCTAGTAACGCACTGGACTCAGAACCTAGTAACGCACTGGACTCAGAACCTAGTAACGCACTGGACTCAGAACCTAGTAACGCACTGGACTCAGAACCTAGTAACGCACTGGACTCAGAACCTAGTAACGCACTGGACTCAGAACCTAGTAACGCACTGGACTCAGAACCTAGTAACGCACTGGACTCAGAACCTAGTAACGCACTGGACTCAGAACCTAGTAACGCACTGGACTCAGAACCTAGTAACGCACTGGACTCAGAACCTAGTAACGCACTGGACTCAGAACCTAGTAACGCACTGGACTCAGAACCTAGTAACGCACTGGACTCAGAACCTAGTAACGCACTGGACTCAGAACCTAGTAACGCACTGGACTCAGAACCTAGTAACGCACTGGACTCAGAACCTAGTAACGCACTGGACTCAGAACCTAGTAACGCACTGGACTCAGAACCTAGTAACGCACTGGACTCAGAACCTAGTAATGCACTGGACTTAGGGCTTAGTAATGCACTGGACTTAGGGCTTAGTAATGCACTGGACTCAGGGCTTAGTAACGCACTGGACTCAAGACCCACCTGAGGCCCCGCAGAGCCCACCATAGATCCTGCACAACCCATCTGAGACTCTCTATGGTGGGCTCTGCAGAGTCTCAGGTGGGCTGGTCATGCAGCTACTCTTATCTGCTTATCCTATTCATTTCTACGACCCCTGATCACACCTGAGCATTTTTTTTCTCAAGCAGAAAAATGCCTGTCGCTGAAAAAAGTACATGAGATACTTTTTGGCAGATTACAGCATTTTTGGTCCCATCGACTTCAATGGGAAACTTTGTGCGACAAAACGCTTAGGTATGAACAAGGACATAGCAATGAATGGAATTTCTTGAGTGTTTTGTCACATTTAGCTTTGAGCGAAAAACGCCTAGGTGTGAACGTAGCCTAAAATGCAATATACGTGTGTTTTTATTCAATGCCACAGATTTCTATGGGCCTCGCAGTGCATGAAAATGCACAAAAAACGGACATGTCTCATTTTTAAAAAATGCAGCGTTTAGATGTGTATGGGCTCATTGGTTAATGTGTTCCTATGACACATGCGTTGTATCGCATTCCGGCGCACACAGCAAAGTACAGAGATGTAAACGAAGCCAATTTGTGTAAAAAACGGTGTGTAGCAGTAAGGTAAATTACTTGACATGTAACAGGGTCCCAAGAGACCAGTGAGTCACACAACAACCTCCATTTTACATATCATATACTTACTTTTGAAATACACCTGATCCCATTATACACAATCTGTATAATATCTGCTTATCTGGCTTGGTCTTTCTGACAGGTGTCACCGGCCTCTCTGAAATCTGTTTACACACTTTGGTTTGTAATGGAGGTGTGGAGAAAAACACTTACCCTTTCATTGCATTGCCAAGTCCTAATGCCTTGTGCAATTCAGTAAAAGAGCCTTGCACATTGTGGAGAATAAGCGGCATTATGCACACGAGTATAAGCATGAAATTTAATCATGCACATCTGTTGTGATGACCTTATCGAGCACACACAGTGATAAACGTCTTATAGAAATTACAGCATCAGTGAAAGGCCATCTCCCAGTCCTGGGCTCTTACCTGATAAACAGGATTTATATTATTCCACAGGGAAGAACACTTATGGGCACTTGGCCCACACTCGTACATTGTTATTTTAAGGGAACAGGAAGAACAAATATACGTTGTGACCAAAAACAACTAAGTGTGTTTCTTACTGCACATAATATAAAAGGTTACTAATATTTATAAATATTATTGTAGTATAGAACCCAGATTATTATTATTATTACATAGTATTTATATAGCGCCAACAGTTTGTGCAGCGCTTTACAATATAAGGAAGACATTACAGTTACAATACAATTCAAGATGGTAAGGAGGGCCCTGCCCCTGAGGGCTTACAATCTAAAAGAGGAGGGGGAAATGATACATGAGGTAGCTGTGGTAGCTGTGGGAATGAATTATGTGAGAATGTGAAGGTTCAGTGGTTAGGTTGAGGTGGGATAAGGTTGAGGTGGGATGAGGTTGAGATTCCAATAGAAGCCCAAAAGTTATCAGATTGCTTTTAGGGGTCAAGAAACAAGTTTTGTTCTGTGTTGGAGAACT